CCTGCATTTCGCGCACTCGACACGCACGATCTCCGCAGAGGGTTGCACTTTCGGTTGACGCTGTTCGTCCCACCCTCCGCCTTTAAGAGAGAATTTATAAAGTGGGGAAATGTTTTTTCATTAGGACATCTCCCGTGCTAGTTCACTTGCCTACTCATTGCATGCTTGCATACTCATTGCATGCATACTCATACCCGTGCTTACACTTGCATACTTCCACTTGCATACTTTGACAGCTTTCGCTCTTCCACTTACACAGGGCTACGTATAGCGTTCATGTTATTTATCCTGCCAGTGTGGTGAAAGTGTCAATGTCTAGGTGTGTCTGAGTGTAAGTGTCGAAGTGTCAGTGTTCAAAGGATTTTCCGGAAGAACCCTTCGCAATGCTATCGGGAAAAGATCAAAAAGAAAGCGCCACTCCCTGCCTGAGAAGCTTTGATACTGCAATCGAAAGGGGTGGGTGGGTGAGTCTAGTCTTAACATCTCTAGAGGCTGCTCGGTTCCCACTTGCGGGGACCAGCACCTCAGCGATTCCAAAAGCCCTGCCGTGGTGTTCGGAGACTGGCGACTTGTAAAATGACTATCGGGACATCTGAGGCACCAAAAGCGGAGATCATCATTTGTAGATTAATATAGATGTATATATTTATATAGGGTATCATCAAGGAAGCAAAAGAAAAGGGTGCAGTATCATCAGGGCACCCCCCAACTCCTCTTCCTCGAACTGACCTCAGTCAGCTCTGAGCTGGTCAGATCGGCCACTGGCTCGGTGGAGCTCTTCGTTGACCGACCGATCTGCTTGTCCTGCCTGGGCGTTTTGGCGCAGTTCCACCGGCAGCGGCCAGAGCTCGAGGCGCGGTTCCGACGAATGGAAGACGGCTGGAACGTGGAAAGCAGGGAAAAACCGCACCAAAAGCAGGATTTCCATGGGTTTTCTCCCTCAAAACGTCGAACAAGCGCAAAGTGGGATTGAAAGAGGCTGGTTCTCTTCTTCAACTTGACATGGATGCATTTTGAGCAAGGTACCTCAGGGAGTGGGTTGGATGGTCAGAGTCGAATTCTAGTTTCGACCTTGCGACAGGTCACCCTGCAGAAGAGATGTCAGTCTGGATCGGATCCATGTTGGGGGGACGAACCAAAGCCTCGGGTTTGTCTCTCGGTGACCAAACCTCGGCCCGTCCTTAAAGCTTGGGCTTGGAGGCCATCCGTGTCTCCAAGCCGGAACTTTCACCAGTTTTCGGCCCATCCATGGAGGAATGGCAAGCTTTGGAACTGAACTTCTACTCATTCTACTCCCTTCATCTGGAGAATTCGCAAGATTTAAACCGATACCAACTATATATAGATCATTTCTGTAGACTTCTTCACAGGCAATGCCGTGCTCCCAGCGTCACCGTTCGAGGTGCGTGTGGCGTCCTTTGGCTCGGCGTTCTTCCCTCGGCCGCCCAGCAAGCAGCGAAGCTCGGGCGTGTTGAGAGACGAGGCGCTGCACACCTCGCTGAAGGAAGGATGAGGAGGCGTTGGTGGCTGTCTTCCGCGAGTCAACGGAGGTGGAGGCCAAAAATAGATGCACCCGGCTCAAACATACAGGATTTCGTCTGTTCGGCTCTTGCATAGCTCTTTTTCCTTCCATTTTTGTTCTTAAGAGACAATACAGGACTCTCCGCGAGACAATACATGCATTCGATGCCAGGGTGTGACCATCGGAGATGTGGTGTGACCAGCCTGGTCTTCGACGAGGCGGAGCAGCTGTGGGACGTAATGATTGACATGAACCCTAGGTATAGGCTTTACAGAATCAACTAAGGATTTTACACTACAAACAGCAGGTCAACTATTTTTTAATGGTCTTGAAAGTCTAGGGTGAAGCCCCGTAGCTCGATGCCAGGAGCTACGTTCGTAGTAGCTTCTTGTTGACATGAAGCGGCTCTAAAAGCCGTTAGACGCCTTTGGGGGTCCAGGGGCCAGCCATAGATTGGGCCAAATCCAGGAAGCCACCGTCGCAGGAGGTTTGGGGAATGGTGTGGCATTGGCCAAGCAGCTTCTGAACTTTATCCAATTCTATCCTGAGCCGAAAGAAAGGGCCAGCCCGAGAACTCTGTGGAATGCAACACTATGGAGGCCATCGCTAGTAGGTTGGAGGCCATTGCTTCTAGGTTCAAGCTTCGGTTGGGACGAAGCCAGGAAGCGACGAAGCAGGCTCTGACCAGTCCTTGCCCATCGCCGGAGTCGAAGACACAGCCCTGCGCCCTGCGACCTCTGGAGGCGATCGCGCGCTGGCCTCGCCGGCCTGCGGCCTGCGGCGTGTGAACGCTGTGCTAAAAAAAGAACTGTCCAGGCAGATGAGTATGGCTGGTGCAGGATGCTGTTCATCTATGTTCATCTGGGACACCATGTCCTTTGCAGCCCTGAAAGGTTGGATTTTGATGGATCCAATTCACTCACTTCATGTGTTTTTATGTATGTTTGTTCTCCAAATGAAATGCTTTGAGGCCAAGACATGCTAACTACCTCCCTCAATGCAGCAAAAACGACTATAGGCATACGGCATACGCCCACCTCCCAAGAAGGCAGAGGAACAGGACCTGGTGAACCATAACATTCAAGATGACCTGACCGGCAAACCTTCTCGATTCAATAGACAATGGGTCAAATTTAATTCTCCAGAATGCTGCAGAACTTCCATCCGTCCAAAGCTCCGTATCTGGTGGCTGGCAGAGGGAGGTCTACGGCCCCTCGTCCTTTATGCATCGTGCTTTGGCCGAGGTGTGGCGCTTCAACCTCGACCTTGATCTCTGAAAAGGTTTGTGCGATTCAGAGGCCAGCGGCGGCGGGGCTCAAACGGGGGACGGGCATGGGGCATGGATTCCTCCGCCGGGCTCCGCCCTGCGTGGGCATTGTGGGGCTTGAAATGGGCATTCCGATGCCCGTTTTTCTGCAAGTTGGCCGCAGAACACCCACGTCGAAACCAATAGGAATTGGCCAGTTGGATGTCGAAACCATCGGATTCTCAAATCCGAATCTCAAACATCACACCCCAAAAGATGAATTACACGAGCTTGCCGCAACATGGGCTGTGGTTTTGCGCTTGCTGCTCAATCGCTGCGAGGTGCCCAAGCCAATTGTTAGCCTAGAGATCACATTCTCTCCGTGTGTGTGAGAGCTAGAGGCAGTTGCAGCCACTTCTTCCAGCGCATCGGTGTCATGGCGCTGGAAGCTGCAGCGAGCGCCGCCGTTGCTGGAGGCACGGCTTTAGTGAGGGCATTTACGCATGAGCGCCGATGCCTGGTGAAGGTGAACGTCCCATCCAGCATCACATCATGGACAGAAGAGGACCGCTATGAGAGTACGGGCAATCTCAGTTGGGGCTACACTCCGGGGGAAGTGGAGGTGGAGTTCTTCAATGACGGTTCTTTCAGTGGTGCCGTCAAATTGAAGTCCGACACGGGTGAGTACCTCATCATCGCGTCTTCCAACCCTCACTTCGGTGGCAACAAGACGCGTGCCTACTTCGGGGACGGGTCCAGGAAGACTTATGATGTGTGGGATGACATGGGCTCGTGGGGAGAGGTGGATACAGTGGATGGCGTGGTGAATGAACGGGTGCGCAAGGGAAACGAGAGGGAGCGGTACGACAATCCCGGCTTCTTCCACTACATTTGCGGCTGAGCAGTGGCAGTTCGCTCAGCGAACTCAGAAGATGGGTCCATAATGGTCCACATCACTTTTTGAAAACAGAATGCCCATGACAGCCCTCTGGCCGTCCCGCCACCAGCCCACTTTCTTTGTGAAAGACTCGTGAGGCTGCGCAAGCTCTGCCAGTGTGAAAAGCCTGCTGCAACCACTCTGATGTAGATGACCAATAGCACCCAGACACATAGACACTCTATGCATCTCTATGCCATATTTGCCTACATTGGGGCCGTTGGGGTGGTTTGGGGGGTGAATCTATTCCATACATGAAGTGTGGGTCTGGGCTCGGTTTGGGGCCTGGGCTCGGCGCTCCGCACCGGTGGCACCGGTGGTCTCGAGGCTCAAGTTGCTGTCGGTCCTGGGAGTGGCCGCCTTCACCATCGCCAGCTTGACGGCCCAACACAACGCCCATGTCCCTCGGACGAGGGCGTGGGTTCCGTAGGGCGTACGGTGGTGGGCAGGTCGTGCCGGGGGAGGTTTCGCCGATTGGAACTCAGACAGGGCATCTTGATGTCCATGTTTAAAGCACTCCAGCAACTAAGTTGATTCTGGTTGATGTGTAGAGATGGGTATGAGGAGAGTAATGAGGAGAGTACTGGGTTGCCACAATGAATGCCGCTGATTCTGCTCGTTGTGACTCGTTGTGAGGTGTGCTTTGTAAGCTTCCTCCTCTTCGAGTTCTGCGTTGGCATTTACTTCCCTTCGGTTGGCGGGGTGAAGAGTGAGATGATCCCAGACCCCTGGCAGCAGGATTGACGTATCTTGACGGTCCTCGAACTGGAAGATTTATCACTGGGGCCCAAACCAAAAAGATTCGAGATTCCCGTTCCGATGATTAAATTTACTCCAGATCTCTTTGGGCTTCTGAAGCTTCTGGCAAGCTGACAAGCTCTCTAGATGTCCAGTCAGAGCCTCACGTCCAGTCTTCTTCACGGAGAGAGACAGCGCAAAGGGGCGACTCAGGAGCGGATTCGGGCCACCATGCAGGATGCCCCAGCCATGGAGAGGTCGCGGAGGAAGCAATTGACCCAGCTACCCTGCCATAGGAGTCATGATGAGTCATGGCACTTTGCGCCGCCGCAGAGTCACTATCAGAATGGGTCTGGGATATGAACATCTGTGTTTGACAAATGGTGATCCAAGAGCGATCAACACCATGCAGCACATCTTCAGATGCCAATCCAGATGCTATGGGCCCCAGAGGAGCACCATTTCTTACCCACCGGTCCAATGATCAAACCATACCATAGGCTTCCAACCACCATTAATTTAATGATCCCCAAAATAACTCATGGCTTTACTAAAGGATTTTGCACTACACCACCAGGTCCTTCCCATTTTTTAAACATGCTGCGCACGGGTGCCACGGCAACGGGCATGGCCGCTTCGCCGGCGTTCGCCCTGCCCCCCAGGTACAACCTTTGCCGAGTTCCGTTGAACGCTGTGGTGGCGCCTTGGGTCGGCGAAGCAAGTCGCCCGGGGAGCTGTGGGTAGTCTGGGTGGTCTGAGGGGATCATGAGTACAACATACATCCACCTCAGGGCTCGAACAGCTCAGTCTTCCCAAGTTACGTGTTTTTTTTTTTGGGGGGGGGACTGGCCCAAAAGAGTCTTGGAGATTTGAGCCGTTCGGGTTCTTTTTTGGGGGCATAGTATGGTATAGTACAATTTAAATCGAAGATCTGATGCCCCCCTGCACATGAGAAACACCGACTACAGACTGCTGCCCCCTTCCAACACAACAAGTGCATCCTTCGAATTGAACAGCTGTGCACAGCTGGTCCATGCTGGTCCTCTCAGCGATTTTGGAACAGATGCCCCGGGGCCCCGCGGCGTGTGTTGCACGGAGCGAGAAGGAAGTGGGGTGGGACTTCACGCCCTACAAACGGGAGTCTATACCCTCCCGCAAGCTGGGCGGAGTTCACTTCCGGCAGTTAGAGGAAAACAGTCTTGCAAGGGGGCCATGTTCCATTTCCATGTAGGTTTTTCCATGGCTAGGAGTTGGTGAGGTTTTTTCAGCCCAGGTAAGCCTCCTCTTGAGCAACATCGGAGTCGTTCAGTGCTTTAGGCACGAAACCGCGCGGGTTTCGTGGGATGCCAAGATGCCGGTCTGATGTTTTGATGCAGGTCGATGGAGTCCCACTAGGGTCTTCTTTTGGCCGGTTTGCGGCCTCTTGAAGCACCCTTCTCAGGTAATTCAGAATGCCACGCCCTGAATTTGGATCTAACCAACTCCTCACCAATGCCCTGTCTTTGATGACTTGATGCGAGTCGAACGGACCAAAGTCGATGTGCACCAAGCTGTCTAGATTTCAGGTCTTTTGTCGTCTTCCACTGGAAATTCGTTGGGTATGTTGAAGTTTCCCTTCTTTTGACATGCCATGTAGAGTGGCATTTGGTGAACATGCCAATGAACCAGCCGACGGTCTTCTCGGGTGGGAGGAGGGGCCGTCCGACCTGTCCAGGTTCTGCGCGGTTCTTTTGGCCGTGGTTTTCCTGGCCGCGCCGACTAGCAGCATTGGCAGCCCTTAGGGCCGCAGGGTTGTAGTGAGTGGGTCACCTTCCCTTGAGTGGTCAGAGACCAGAAAGATTGAAGCTCAATGACTCAAGGGGCTCAAGGGCTCTTCCACTTATGGAATGTCATGGGTCATTCTGGATCTATGGCTATGGGCCTGACTAATAGGTCAAAGGCAGAGGCAGAGGGACTGGCGGGGGAATCGCACTCTTGATCAGTTTCCGCATTGGTCTGAGGATGGGCATCAAGCATGTGGCACCTGAGTCGCCGGAGGCTTTCACATCCAAAATGAAGTAGTCACGACTTCTCATCCTCGGCTCAGCCGAGCGTTTTGACGAAAAACCGGTGATGCCGGACGATTGAGACATATTTAGGCCTGTTTGCAGGGGACGAGAGTCGTCCTTGTTGGTCATGCTGCTTTGGTGCCCATGCTTCGAGTCAAGGGTATGAAGGCCCTAAATGGCTACTGATGTTCAGCACCAGAACCAATGCAGTCCTGTTGAGCTTGGTTTTGGCCTTGTACCCTTTCCACATCTTCTGCATGAGCTGCTGCGAAAAGTCGAGATCTCCGCGCGTGAGCGCAAGTCAAACTGGCCTAATCTGAGCCTTTCCTGACAGCCAAGCCAGTGACACATGAGATTGAGGAGCGGCTGTGCACTGCCAACCCACCTTACAGCTTACAGAGTTACTAAGGGCCAATCTATGGGCTCCACAGCTTTCGGAGTTTTTCTCCACAATCCAAGGTAGAGGTAGAGCAATCTGAAACTGGAGTGGGACAGGAGGTACCCTGAAAACAAAAAGGGGCTGGGCATCACCTACACAGCACACAGTCTACAAACTTCCCAGAGTTGGTTGACAAACATGGGACGTGACAACACGTGCAGAGGCCAGTGCGAATGAAACGAGTGGTGCCAGGCACCCTGCCACCCTCACCCTCACAGACACACTATACTATACAACAAGATTGAGCTCATGAAGACGGTTGTGAGGTGGGAAATCCATGGAACTTACTTCGTTCATCTTGGTTCAACAAACACACATATGCAGAGGCTCAGGCGTGCTTGATTCTAATTCTCAGTGACTCAAGTGCTTCGACTTTGGGTTTCTCTGGAACCGGATTCTCGCCGTTGAATCCCCTTTTCCGGGTGCCCTGAGTCAAGAACTGGTTCTTGGTGGGACGTGCAGTACATGATAAAATCTCAGACATCCAAACCTATCTGGGAGGGGCCGCATCGTCCGCCTTTGTGCCACATCTCAAGCTGCACCCGGCTCCAACCATGCTCTGTCGGGCTTGGTGCGCGCCGCGGCTGGAGGCCCCAGGTTGGAGGATCATCACAGCCTCGACTCCGGACTCGACCCATCCATTCAAGTTGGCGAAACACTCCGTGCTTTTGGGGCTTCCCTCCATATCGCCGAAGTTTTGGGGGATGTTTTGGACAGGCTGCAGGCTGCAGGCTGCTGGGGCTGCAGGTTGTGCCTTCTCAACCAGCTGATATGACAATTGACACCCAACGCCAAATGTGGCAGAGAGACGGTCAAGATGCACGAACCGATGCCCAAGCAAGACCAAGGGTTTTGATACCCTTCCGTTCGTTCACCAGTTGTTCGGTCATAGCCTCACTCCCTTCGGTCGGTCATAGCCTCACTGAGGCTGCTGACCTTGAGGCCTCCACGGTCGATCGGACAGGCGAGCAACCGTGCGGTTTGCGCGTCCGATGGGCGCAGCGCAGACATGAGCCCCGCAAGGGGTCAGTATCTGTGTGAAAAGGGGGTGCGTGATGCCTGCGCATGCGTGATCAATCACTGAGCTGTGACATGCAAGAATGCCCCTCTCAGGGTAGTTGCAACAAGGAGTCGATCGACTGCTCAGTAGTCAGTCGGATTTTCATCCCTCTTGCAACCACCCCCAGAACCTCTGAACATTCCTTCGATGCGGGCGAGCAGGGACCTTGCGGACTGAGCTTCTTCACTCCTTTTTTCAGATGCATTGTGCAAGAATTCATCTGAGGACACTAGCCACTCCAAAACCCTGTTGATCATGTTTGATCATGTTTCTCCTTGCTAGTCGCTAGTAGGGTGGAGGCCATCGCTGTTAGTAACTCAACAGAAGATTGTACTTGTTGATTGTTTTTATTTATTTTTTCTTATTCATTCATTCATTCATTCTCTCACTTTCAGTGATGCCTCTGGCCCAGCCTCGCCCTGCGCCAGCCTGGCCCAGCCGGCTTCCGGAGTTGCGGACGTCGAGCGCTGACAGCTGCGACCGCGGCGGTGGCCGCAAGAGCAGCACGACAGCACGAGGCATCGGGCGCCAGTCAAGCGTGTGAAGATGCTGCCCCAGCAGTATAGAATCGACAGGCAAACCCAAATGAAACCATTAGTATCATTAGTAGTTGTTTTGGGCACTGTGCCATCACCAGGTGAAGTTTGAGTGGAACTTTTGCATGAACACAGGGCAACAGACTGCAACAGATGTTCTTTGCGTCAACAAGTGATGTCAAACAACAGGTGCACCTGCCATTGGCTCGTTGGCCTCCCGAGTCCGAATTCAGGTTCGTGCCATGAGTAGGATGCCACGCTCCTTGGCCGTATTCTGCGAGCGTCTGCGAGTGTTGAAAGGAGCTTTTGCCAGGCGTTGTGTTCAGAATCAGCTCAGGTTCTAGTGAAGACCATTGAAGATATTGAAGACTTGTTTTGACATATCATATATAATATCGTCTATAAGTAACATGTGTATTCGACACATACATTATGTATATATGTATATATTACACACAATATCTTATATAAGCACATTAATATACTTGGCAGTAGGCTACATAAGTTTCCAGTCGAGACACCCATAGACACCTCTTGTCGTTGGCCTAACATGCGAAAGAACGGCTCGTCGCTCGGCTCGAACGGCTCGTTGACTCACTGAGGACCGGGGATGGAGACAGGACTGGTGAGCTGCGCCGCTGAGCTGAGCCGAGGTGGTTCCATATGTTTACGCCGGAAGGGCTGTGGTTTTGGCGCTGAGTGATCTCTCCCACGCCTCTTGAGCCTTTTTCATCCATCGAGGCTTTCCCACGTCCTCCCAGCATCTCCCAGCTGAGGAATGGCTCAAAGCTGAACTGGATGCGCCCAGTGGACCGCTGAAGCTGGTAGAAGCCACATGGTGCGCTCGTGAGACTTTGGTCTGCGAAGACCGGACATTCATCAAGAACTGGTCATTTCTTGACCCGGCAGGGAAGAGATGGGCCGGTCAACGTCGTGGTTGTAGAGTGTCTGGTTGGGCTCGGGACCCCTGTGACGCTGCCCCGGTCGGGACCGACGCCGGTCCCGCGCGGGGTCCCGCGCGAGGTATATGCCGAAGACCGTCTTCGGCCCGCCGGAGGGCTCCGAGGGGCCCCAGGCGCGGCCTGCACCGGCCGAACGCGGCGCGCGGAACGGGAGGAACGGGACGGCCAGTTAAGCGGCAGGACGGGAAATGGCATCAGTCCTTGTACAACTGAAGCTGCTGGAGAGGACATCCTCATGTCCACTCAAAAACATTCATTTGGGTCCAGGAGGCGTGTAATGTTTGTGTTTCTTTGTGTGGTCGAGTCACGCATCATTGTCATTTCAGGCATTGCGTCACGTCACTTTTTTTAAATATAATCCATGGCAATCTTGTGTTGTTGATGTTCTTGCCGTGTTTTGGAGCAACATGCTTTGGCTACAAGTTGATGGCATGTTTGTTAGTACGCTGAGCGGGCCTATTTTGGAGTAAAGGAAGCCTCCACCTGGCGTTGTGAAGAACCTCAGAAGATAAAACACTATAAAGTTTTAAAGTATAATGACATAATAACCATATAGAAAACCACTGGAGTGACCCCCCTGTCAGGGACAACGGGTGTGTCGAAAAACCGTAACCCCCGCATCGATTCAAGGGCGCCAAAACCGTTCAACGACCGTTGCCGCGCAGGGCGATTTCATGAAGGGCCCCCGGCTGCCGGGTGCCGGCTTCTTCGACATCGATGGGGTCGCCGCAGCCGACACAGGTGACACCAGTGGGACGGCATGTCCGGCGGACGGAGTGTCGATGAGCCGAGGACGTGGAAGAGTTGGAAGTGAATTGGATTCAACATGATCAGAAGATCGAAAAAAGGAAACAAAGATGAAGCGAGGAAGATGGGAACAGTTTTGGAACATCCAGTCTTGTATGATGATATTCTATCTGCAGGATGATGCCGAGGCCCAGCGGAGCTGCGTGGAAAGTTGATTTGCATAACCAAAAACATCCAAAAACCATTGTAGACAACACACATACAATGTTATGAACAATGTCTGAAACATGCTTTACAGGTGTGCAGGTTACTGCAGGTTTTAACAAGTCATCGACATCATCCAGGGAGTCCTCGCGGTTTTGTTTGGTTGTCACTGCAGGCGATGGTATGAGGTCCGCCTCCAGGTTCTTCACCAATCCCTTCTGCCCTGGGCCTTGCAGTTTTGGCCCAGTCGCCCGAGTCCAGTTCCAAAGACGGGGATCGATGTGTTTGGCATCGGATGGCGAGGGGTTTGAGGAGATGCCCCCGCCCACGCGCAGCGACCAATTCCCTGCACGTCATGGCACGAGGAAGCGCTTGAATGTGCCAAAGAGGGGCAAGGCAGCGCTGAGGGTGACACGGCTATATTTACATATCTAGACTTCCAGGACCATGAAGAAAAATGGTTGACCTGGTTTTGTACTGTCAAATCCGTAGCCCATTATATAAATTAACGGTGGTTGGAAGCCCAGGGTATATACTGTATTACTTTAATATTTTTATTCATTATTGTGTCTTGTGGCATGCGCATTGCACCTTGGATGGCAGTTCCTCAGCGGTTCCTCCGCGTATTTTTTTCCAATGTGGGAACCCATCGTTCGACGTTTCTTCGACCGCCCAGGCCAGTTGGCAAGGACAAGGCCTGGAGGTTCTCCGTGGTCGCAGCGCCTGGAAGCGCAGTTCCACTGCGTCGCGGCGAAGACACACACCACGACAAGACCGGGCACGGGGTGCCATGCGGCGTCATCGAGAGATCCGAAGCTCTGAAGTGAAGAGAGTTAGCACTTTTGGCGTCGTTTTTGCTTTGGAGAGGTGCAATTTCAAGGGAACCAGAATTTGGGTAGATTGGCATCAATTCAGTGTATGGGGACATGGCCCCGACACACATTGCACTCAAAGAATACGGTGCCAAGTGGGGATGATGCGAGTTGAAGTGGCCTTTTGGTTGCACTGGTGTTCTCCACGTGCTTTCAGAGAGGAATTGAACTGATGGAAGTTTTCAGTCAACCTGATGAAGAAGCAGACTTCGAGCTCTTTGAAGAGGACCAGATTCCTCAATCCGAAGCCTCAGTCCGCAGCCTCAGTCTGATCGGTGTCGTTGAGGTAGCGGAAAGAAAAACCAATCAAAAACCACCCCTGTTTTGTATACACCCAGTGGCCACACTCATATTAGTATATAGCAACATGCAGCCGTAGAGTTGTCAAATTCGGTCGCTTGCAGGCTCTCCATGTGAGCTTTGCCGAGGGTGGAGCTTGGATGAAGTGCCCCGAGGGCTCCAAAGAGTCCGAGATCGATCGCCTGTCGCTGGCATCCACGCGCGCAACGCCCAGAGAGGAGCGCACTGGCGGTTCGGTTCTTCGGGCGTGTGTCGCGCGCGCTTCGTTTAGGACGATCACCCTCGGATGGGACGGGCCGACGGGTCATGTCCCGAGTTCGGTGTGGTAAAAGACGAACAAGTGCAAGACTAAGGCATGCAGAACATCATAGAATAGATGACAGCTCTTCAGGACGCATCAGATTTTTTGCACACCCTCCCTCCAACAAAACAACAAAAACACAAGGTTGTCTACTTGTTTGGAGGGCACTGGCATTTTTCTGACATCTCTGTCCTCTAGGACTCATACACTCCCCTTGCTCCACTGACACGCTGGGAGCTCGCGCTCCTCCGCGCCGAGCGCTCCGCGCGCCGGTACGCAGCGGTGGACCTTGTGCCGAGCCGGCGTTGTCCTGTGGCCACGTCCGCCGAGCCGCATGCCACGAAAGAGTCCATCGAGAAGTTGCTCAAGGAGTTCCAGACCAAGGTGCGATGGGAGCGCGGTGAAAGGGGAGGCTGGCGCGAGGTGTTGGCATTGATGGGCGAACCAGAGAGACATGGCGCGATGAGATGTGAGAGGGCGCGTGAACGTTTGAAGAGATTGAGCACGGTCAAGTTGTTGGAGGTTCTGCTGAAGTGCCAGCCGCAACTAAGATCCACGAAGTAGAGCAGAGCATGGAGCTCTCCCATCCTTGGCCCTACCTCAGGTCCAGTGGAAGAGCCACCGTGCAAGTCCCAGCTTCGAGCTTTTGCGTGGGAAGCTGAGACCGCAAAACAGATACTTCATATAATAATTACTTCTGTTTGGGTGATTTCCATTCCTTCCAAATTCCCTTCAATAGTCGCCCAGCAACAACGAAAAGGCAAGAACAAGGATGCATGACAGTCACTCGCTGGTGGCAGTTCCGGTGTGGCCGTAGGGATCTCTTGGCGCATGTAGCTGACGGCCCACAGCCGAAGGTCTCATTTTTTGGGAAGGTTTTGCTTCACGCCGCTCGCCCATTCTGGCAGATTCTGCCCACTGACTCAGGTCGTGAGTTCCTGACCAAGCATGGGCCAAGCTTTTGCCCCATGCTTCAAAAAGCCTTGGGAGAGGTGTCTTTATGGCCGACCCCTCTGAATACACCAGTGCAAAAGACATTCTATTCCTCCTGCTGCGGATTGGACGGAGATCTGATTCCAACATTCCATGGGACAAGGGCCTGCAACTTGCTTAGTAATCACCTTTCTTTTGTGCCTTTACCATCCCTTTTTGTTGTATACAGCCATCAACACACACCCCGGCAAGAGAAGTAGCCAACTCCAGCTTCGCTGTGGTGCTGCACCCAAGGCAGCCTGTCATCAATTTACCAGAACGGCTTGGTGGTGCCGGGTGGCAAGAACAACGTGAAGGTGCTTCATGGCAGTGCCTACGGGGTTGGCATTTACACCGCCCGGGTTGGGAACCCTTGGCTGTCCATGAACTACAGCTCTGGATGGACTGGGCTTCTGGTTTGCGGAGTGTTGGAGCCTTTGGCCGTCAACAGTCATTTTTTTGCATGTGAAGCACCCTGCCAACCATGCCCATAAGGTCCACAAAGTTTCTACCCAGGGACGTGGATAGTGCGAGTCCGAGGTAGATCCACAAGAGCCAAGACTTTCTGATTTTACCATTCGCTTACCTTAGCCTACCAGAGATTAATGCGGGTATCGCGTCACCGCAAACTAATCATGGTCTCTGGCCACCCATCGGATGCGATGATTGAAGAAGGTGCTTCATCGCTCGTCGCCCCCACAACCTCAAGCGGACCGGAGGTGCTTTGCGCAGTCTTGCACCCGCCCATGTACTTTACCAAACGACTTGAGTCGTAGGACAGTTCCGGTCATAGTCCCCAGGTCTCCCCAGTAAATCATCAGGGTGCTTTCGCTTACAGATCTTAGGGAGCCAACCTTTGGCTAATCACGATGCCCCAAGGATAATCACGATGCCCAAACCGTGCGCCATGCGGGTGACGCTGTGGTCGTCTTTGATGAGCGTCGTGTGGCGCCGCTCTTCGTCGCCGTGCCGTCTTCGCAGCCAATGGCACGAGCGCTTGGGATCATGCCCGGACAAGCTGCAGTGGTGCACATGCCCGCGAGGAGACATCAGGGTCCAAGGACCAACACGGCGGGGTGCTGAAATGAAGAACCTCTTCAGTAAGCATTGTCAGTTTGAACATGTTTGAACTCTCTCTCTCTCTATATAGATTTATATGAATCGAAATTCTAAATGGTCCTGCCTTCATTATTGTATTCTATAGGGATCTGAGGGATTGATGAAGTATGGGGTCCCAGCGCAGGTGGGCGCTCGAGCATCAACCCCTGCAGCCTTCCTGATGCGGACCGCCGCAAGGAAGCGGAGGCCCAGAGGGTCTCGATGGTTGAGCGGCAAGGGATGATGGTGTTGTTATGAGCCGAGCTAGCTTGAACTCTTTCAAATCTTTTCGGCATGCAGTCGGTGCAAGGCTGGCAGAGAGAGAGAGAGAGAGAGAGTGGGAGAGTGCCCCAGTCATGCTTTGCTGATGCGCCAGATGTTTGGGGTCGCCAAGTCATGTACAGTGTACAGTTAGTTGCGGCGTCGCTGGTGCCTTTGATTCGACAGATCGCACGGCCCCTCTGGCGGTTGGAGCCAGAGCATCAGAAAAGTGGATGGAGCACATGGTGTGTGAGTTGACACATGTTGAAGCCAAGCACCCCAGACCATTGTAACAGGAAATGCCAGTATAAGCATGGATGAGCATGTGCTGCTAGACGAAGCATCCAACGGCTGATTGGGATAAAGGTTTGGGCGACATGACTCGCAGCTGGGCGTGGAACTTGGTGGGTCTCATCAGTTTCTTGTCCGAAAATGGGAAACCCTCCCAACCACTCCCAACCAACCAGCTTCTGTGCGTTTTTGGTTCTTCGATATTTACTTACATATGCCCAACATCCTCACAAATATGGCGTCCAGACAATCCAAACACCAGCTTCCAAATTCTGCAAACATGGTCGCAAACAGCACTTTGGGCAACCTCAAGCAAGGTTGCAATGACTAGAGGATGACCAAGCAAATTGATCGATTTGAGGTGGAAAAGGTGCCACACCGCCGCTTCTGGTCGGCAGGTTTGCCTCACATGCTTCCGGACGAGGAGACCTTTGCCGCAGCCATGGCCGCCTTGGGCATCGAGCCAGGCGCGACGAACAGATAGACGGGGCTGCAAGTGGGCCTAAGGTAGAGATGGTGTTTCCAGAATTTGCGGAGTTGAAAAAACGTTGACATGCCACAATCCACCAATCCAAGAGGAAGCTTGAGATTCAAGAATGTGATTACAGTATCAGTGATCAATTTACACACACACATATATATATATACACATATATAGGGCCATATATATAATATAGTGTATGTATATATATATATATATACATACACGTATCATGATGAGCCCGATACATGAAGCATCCCAAGGCACCCGCGTCGTGGCCTACGACCGATTGGGTGTCTTCTCCTCGCCCCGCTTCTGGTCGGGGCCGCGCGAAAAGGGGGGGTGCGGGGTGCGCGTCGTCCGTGGGCGGGCCGACATCGCAGCGACGTACCGGAGGAGTTTGTGTGTTGCTTAGGTGTTGCAGCTGACTTTCACCCGGGGGGAAGCAGGAAAAGATGGGGCAGCTGACAGGTCTGACAGCGACGCAGCGTGAGCCAGCGTGTCCAACACGGGGCAACATGGCGGGACACTGACTGACCCCAATGAGGCACACATAAAATTTTGGCAGAGAAGGGTAGTACCGGGTAGTAGTCTGGATATGTCTGGATTTTGACCATTTGCACCTGGCTCCATTGGTGCCATCCAAGTGATCTCTCGTGGATGGGTCACAAGTACGAAGCAAACACCTGGGGGGAGCACCGTCTTCGCAGAGCTTCCGATCTCGGTGAGGTACACCTTGAAGGTGGCCTTTGGGCACCCCGCAGAGGTGGCCGTTCTGGATGGTGGCCTGCCCCGCTGGAAGGAGCTAGGCCGGTCGATTCTTAGAGGTTAAGGGGGGTGAAGGTCCCTGTGAGGATGGCACCAGTAAGGCGAAAGATGAAGAACACACATTGCATGGGTGGGGATTTTTGTAGATACGTGATTTCAAAGGATTCATCAACTTGGCGCCCACACGTTACCACGTCACGGTGAGGGTCAGCGGCCGCTGCCGCCGCCCGGAGGTTATCCCTTGGAGGAGGGGCTGCCGGAGCCCTCCGCCCCGGCGAAGATGTGTCGCTGGAGCCGCTGGGCTCGGAGGTGGTGAAGGCAAAGTGTTCAAACGGTCCCCGACTCCCACTGGAACTTACCCGACTCCCACTGGAACTAACATGGAAGTGGAATGCCACCTGTTTGTAGTGGATTTCATGGTCTTCCTTTCGGGGCCATTCTCCACTTCCATCTTAGTTCCGGGGAGTGTATCCACAACGCACATGAAAGAAGGTTCAACAACGCCCAAGATGCCTATCAACGGGTTTAGGGTGATTGATTCAAAAGGTGCCCAAAATCCATCAGGGATCCAAGCTACTAGTAGCAACATTCCAATAGTGCTAAGCTATAATTTGCATATTCACTCACCAGAGATGCCCCGTGCTACATTTTTCTGAAATGTTGGCAGCTAGTGCTGAAGGAAGAACTTTTGCGCATGGCCGGGTGCCCGCCTACGTGATTTACTGATGGACAATGCAAGATTAGGTTGAAGGTGTTTGGAGTCTGGCATGTTTGCAGGAATTGCCTGTTGGTCACCTGTGAGGCAGGGAAACGGGAGATCAATTCATAATTATACCCTTGAATCCCTTGGTTGGTTGGACCCAGTCCCGCCGAGACCCTTCCTTCAGTGACGTGACGCTGTCTCGCCAGGTAAGGTGCCGGAAGCCGTTTGGGACAAGTCGCAGGTTTTGGCACCTCGATGGGCGACGGAAACCGACGATGGCCGGTCGCAGATGGGCACGAGCGGTCCTGAGGAACTCAGCCAAACGTCTGAAAGACCACGTCCAGGTTACAAGAAGAACCCCGAATTCTCCCGGCAAGAGACCCCAAACAGTCTGTGTGAGGTCTAGAGGTGTAGCAGCGAGGTAAGAACCCCTAGTGTGTCCACACTGTTTGGGGAAAAACATGTCTCGTCATGAGCTGGTGGGCCGTGAAAAGACATCTGAGCCATCAAGAGGTGGTTGATGTTGTTATTGCACCAGCAAAGAACCTGCCAGGCGTCATTTTGGAAGATGGGTGTGCAGGTAAGAGTTTCTATGTGAGCTGTGAGCTTTGTCGGTGGTACATTGTGGGGAAGTCTATGTCCTTCACTGGTGAAAAATGACCGGGGTTGGTGTCACCCAGGACCCAGCTGCCATTCTCTTTTCAAAAGAGGGCCTGGCCAGGTGGGTTGGGGTTCTGACCCTTTTTGGATTTTGTAGTTCTTTTGGGGGGTGGTGTTGTGTATTGAACATCAAATGTCTGATGAGATGTGTCTTTATATATCCACCTGTCTGTTTTCAGCCACTTGAACGCACCTGCCGAAAAAGGCACATTCCTGATCATCCGCGAACGAAACAGACCCAGACACAAACACTAGCGAGAGAGAGAGGGCGAGAGAGAGAGAGACAGAGACAGGGAGAGCGCGTGGGTCTTTCAATGGTTGCCCCATCCATCACCCATCACTACAAAGCCCTTCGATGCCCCGGCCAAGATCTCCACTTGCATCCTCTATTTTGGGGACTCCATAGCTCCTTCCATGGCTCCACCTCAGGCGAACATTCACTCCAAGCAGGCATTGCACCTGGACGCCCGCCCGGTTGGACGTTTCCACGGGGAGCAACCGGAGCCACGGCCCAAGCTGCGGTGGGGGCACGTTCCAGGAAGTGTGTCCCTGGAGGCAGTGGCCTTGCTGAAGCTGCCGCGCCTCGGATCTTTTCCGAGACATGTGGAGGAATGGGTGGATCTGGAGTGATGAGCTGATGGTCATGGTTGGGTCCATCAAGTGATCATGCGTCATGAATTGTTGCCATTTGGAGGTATCGGTTGTGAATCCAGATGATCCCAGGTCAGTCAGGGAGACTTGTTTTGGGCGTGATGGGCGTAAACAAAACTCCAAACAATCACGGTAGGAGAGTTGCTCATAGTGGCTCTGAGTCATCAATCCCATGTTCTTTTTGGCTGCCAGGGTTGAAGAACATGGGTCCGCTCCAAGTTCCATCCACCTTTCCATCGGCTTTTGGAGGTGCAGGTGCTCCTTCTCTTTGCGCTCCCACACTTCTTGCCTCTGCCCTGAGGTACATGCTGAATCAGAAGGATTTGCAGCTGGTGGTGGAGGGCGCTGGCATCAAACTGGAGCACCTCAGGGGCGATATCGGCCCCAGGAGCTGATGCGCCCTCGGGAAGGTTGAGCTGTCGGACTATCCTTCCACAGGGAAGCCAGCACGTGATCAATAGCCAGGTAGGCGGTGTAACGGGATCCCGTGAAAGACCAACACGCCTCGACCACTACCAAACTGCTGTTCAAGATTCAGAGTGGTTTACGATGCTTCGCAAGAAGGTGGCGGTCGCGCTCCTGCAGACTTGGCTGGTCGAAACAAGCAAAAGGCCGGTCGAAACGGCGGTTGCTTCGGAAACGGATTCAGAGGAAGCAGACGATCAAGATGTCCTTTCAGAGTCAAGGTATGTATATGTATAAACCACCAAACTTGTGGATTGTGCCATCTACTCAACTTTGAAACCATTGTACTTGGAGGACCCCAAACCACGATCGGTCGATGCCCACCCTTTTGCGGCCCTCCAGCCACGTGCCGACGGGTTCCAGGATCCTGACCTCCTGTGGTTCAGGGATGACCGCATGCATTCTTGGCCTGGGCCGCCTGCCGTGAATGAAGCAGCTGCTTCTGACATTGGCAGGGTCTGGTGAGCACCTAAAAGAGCCCCCATGGATGAGTGATGGTCCAAACTGACTCATTGCAACATAGTGCAACTAGTGGCCACTCTAGTGGCCCAATGTGGACAATGGCACCTTGGATGACCATTTTCCTCTACAAACAGGTGGTTTTTCAACTTCTATGATTACATGATTATTTCAGGGAGTCGTCTGCCTTTTTGGATCTTTTTGGGGAGGTCGCGTCTTCACGCGAGTATTATAGTCGATGCACAGGAAGACTTCTACGGGGGGGAGGTGCTTGTGCTTGGCGACGACTGGTGCTTGAAATGGTCCGAAAAATGCCTTTTGGTGGCTCGATGCCGTCCTGTGGGTCTACCTCACTTGATGTTTGTGCATGGGTCACCTCAGAATCATCAAAAGGATCCATGACACGAAATGCAGGGCAATCGGACTATCCAAGTTCTAAGAACTCACGCGCATGTCGGGTTCTTTGCCTGGTCTTTTCTCCAGGGCCCGATTTCTCAGCAAGCCAGGTCTACACCAGCTGGGCATGCCCCTCTCGCGCTGGTCGGTCTATGATGCCTCCTGGTGCGAGTGGGGCGCCGATCAGGACACCCCTGGGATCGGATCCACGGTCTTGCATGAAGAAAAGAACACCACTGGACGTGAACATAAGGGCTACACTAAGGGCTACATATGCGTATCCCAGATGCTGGACCCGAATCCTTTGCAGGGGTCGGACCCGAATCCTCTGGAGGGGTCTGGACCCGAACCAATCCCTTATGGTTTTGAGGGACCAAGGGCTGTTTGGAGCGTCTGGGATAGATGTATTAATGTTGGGTGTTCCAGCCCAAGCACAGTATAACACACACACACACACACATATATATATATACAAGCGGTTTGTTTCCAGAACTGCCAGTGCTTTGCGTTGCTTGCCGTGAGTCGGCACCGACTTTGACCGTGGCACGATCTCAGTCTCGGCACCACAGGAGACGCCCATTGTGAAGCGAGGAGCGGATGGCGCCGAAGAAGCAGTGCCGCCCTTGACGGGGTGATGGATCCTGCGCGTCGGCCCTTAGGGCCGACCCTGAAGCGGGAAGCGGGCCGATGCCTTGGTTTAAATCCAAAATTTGGACACAGTCGGGTGTGTGGGCAGGGGGTTAGCATCCAATAATATCATATCATGCCAAATGTGACGTTGAATCTGCATGTTCCAGATGTTTCTTTTAAAATTGTGAGGGGAATGAAGGGTTGTGTTCTGGGATGGGCTTCGCTTGAAAGTCTGATTGAGAATCCATTTGTGCATGCGCATGGGCTCTTGGTTCACAACGTAGCCATCTCAACCACCTGGGTGCATTTTGGTGTGCACACTCCACGCCGCTCATGTAGCATGGCCCACTACAGCTGTGCACTTCATTGACTCTCATGTCTCATGTATGTGCCACTTCTGCGCAGAGGTCCACGTGGGCAAAGGATCCAAAAGGCTAGGCTCCATGAAGCTTTCAAAGCATATATGAGTGTGTTGACCTTGGCCGCAGCTGAATTGAGCTCCAGAAGTTGCTTGAGACTCAGCACACGTCATGGATGGTTTTCCTCAGCTGATGCCCCAAAAGTTCTCGTTTGTTCCCAGGGTCCGCTTTCAAGAGGCTTCAACCGGACCGTAAAAACAAGTCCTCTTCGTTCAGGTCATCACTTCCTGCAACCTTTTCAGGGACCGGACCGTTCCACCTCTTCTCCTTCGGCGGGAGTGTCGGGCGCGTCGACTGGGTGCTTTCTCCGCCCGCGGAGCCTCACATGGCCCGCGGGGCGCTGGACTCGTCGTGGTCTCCATGGGGCGCTTGTCGAAGGACCGGCCCGCACTCGTCCGTCGAAGGCATTCACGGCTGACCGGCGAAGCTGGTGAGATCACAGCATCAATTGAATTAATGATATTAATTTATGGTCTTCTTAGCGGTAACCGTCGGTAAACAGGCAAATCACTATCTTAAATTTAAACAAAAGCGGAACACATCCACTGTTACTGGTAATGGGATTGACCCAAAGGTATCAACATCTTAATGTTGGATCCTGATTAGTAAAGGGGGGTCCCCCCCCTCCCTCAAACAAATAGGCGACCCTCTATAATGAATTACCACCAAAACAAATCTGGATTCCTGTGAGGATTCCTTTTGTAATTGATTGTAGTATTCAGTTTCCTTTCTCAGGTGCTTTGTAACTGTTCTCAGCAATCCTTTTGCTTTGCAGCCTCAGATCTTCAGCTCAAGAGAATTCAAACCCTTATTAATTAATTAGGTTTCCAATATAACAAAATTAGGGTCCCCCCAAAATTAGCATTATTCAGGACCCATTTTTCAAACATGGGGTCTGGAAAAATTTTGGAAAAAATTAGCATTTTTGAGGACCCATTTACTAATCAGCATCCAACATTATGCCAATCTCAGACCATTCAAGGACCTTTTTGAAGATTTGTTGAGCTTTGTTGAGCGTCTGGACGTTTGTTGTAGCACTGAACCACACCACACAGAATTTCAGGTCAGGATGATTCGCTATTCGCAAGCCCAGCAGATAGACGGGGAGCGACCCGTGACATGCCGCAACTGGAAGAAAGATCAAATTTCATCTACCAGCACCTCCAACAGGTCACCAATTGAAACCTGTTAGGGCCTAACAACCCTCCATTTCGGAGACCTGTTGGAAGGTGCTGGTATATAGTTATATGTTTTATACAATATACATCCCCGAAGCTGCTCCTCCTCCTACGACGTCTAGGATAAGCGGGACATCTACTACCGGGAGGCCAAGAAGGAGGGCTTTCGAGCTCGATCTGCCTTCAAACTCTTGCAGTTCCTTGTCTGACCGGTCCGCAGCGTGTTCAAACTCATAAAGCCGATATCTATAGCTTGCCCTTGATCTCATCATTCCCACATTGAGAGTGGATGATCGTGCCTTGATCCCTTGTTGTAGGGTGCCAGAGATCAGTCAAAGAACCAAGTGGGCCCAGCAGGATGAGCCAATCCACCCACTTGCTGAGATCTCAGGATTGATGACGAGTTGAAGCTCCTCGAAGACAAAACAGCACCTGAGCTGATTTGGAATACAGTCACTCTGACTCAAACAGAGCATGTGAGGAACCCATGTTGGATGGAATTCTCTGTGCTTTGGATCTTGACCTCTGATCTGAGAAGAACACCACTGTTCCACAAGTTCTGTTCTGTTTCGCGCGGCATGGCTTTGGTCTTCACCAGAAGTAACCTGTTGACTCCTGGCACTCTCGGGGCTCTCAACACTTTGGCTGTTGGGCGCTGCACTCGTGCTCTGCTCGTGTTTGGTGCGCAGAACCGCTCGGCGGTCAAGTGACGTGATGAGCTTTGAGGTCCGCAACGTGGCGGATCTTTGTGCTGCACCTGGGGGATGGAGCCAGGTGGGACAATGTGGGGATCAGAACCATGAATGCGTGTCCAAAGAAGTGGTCCGATGTGTTCAGAGGAACCAACAGATCTCTAGTCTCAAGCCCTTAGTTCTCCGATCTGCCCACCGTCTCAGCTGCACCTGGCCATGCGTCTCGTCCGCAGGTGCTGGCCTTGCGCCTGGTCTCGGACGAGCGTCCGCCGCCTCGGATCGTGGCAGTGGACAAGTATGACTCATGGCTGTCGGACGACGGCGAGGCTGGTGTGGACCCATCAACCAAAGACTACTCCGGCCGGGGGGCGGACTTGGGCGGCAAGATGAGTAAGTCGGCTGGAGCTAAAGCAGAAAGGATTGGACGGCATGGGCCTGTCATGGTGAGTGGATTTGTTGGTCATGGCGCTCCCTTGGTGTTTTTTTCTTTTTTTTTTTTTTTCTGCGCTCGCTTGTGGGGCGATCATGGTTTCTGAGCCTACCATATATCGCCTCAGTCAGCCAATGCTCGAGCAAATACGTCCCTCATTGGTCGAGCTTCCATGCTAAATATGGTGCTAGACCGGCTGAAAGCCAACCACACCGCACCGCAGCGCTTGATACTCCTAATGGCTTTAATTCGTTGAGATAGGTGGAAGGTATTTTTCATTATGGTTATTTTTTGGACCCCCAAGAAGGATTATTGCGACCTCAATTGTCAGTTGTCAATTGGTTTTAACCCCAAGGTGAGCTTGTTGTGTTGCTTGTTTGTTTGATCGATCACTGAAGTGGAAACAACACCCAGCCCTTTCTTCCTTGGAGTAAATGTCGAGTCCACGAAGGTTTCAGCCTACCTTTTTCAGAATGTAGATATATGTAGATTCAGTGTAGATCAAAACTTGATGGCCTGAGAGCTTCTATGAAGTCACTTTGTATCACAAGAAAAGTAATTACCTTTGCAGGATTTGGGTAGATTTTTGCACCTCGAACATGTCTCGGATCAAGTATAATGACCCCCAATATACAATAAATGGATACATGAACGAATCAACAATTGCAGATATGATACTTACATGCACTTTATACAGAAATAGGAAGCGTGCTCCCTTGAGAAAAGACTCCAAGGACTCAACCCCCTGGTCGTGTGATGCTTTCGGCTTTGAGGGTCACCGGACCCCTCCGTCGCCGCCGTCGATCACGCCCAGGAAATGCAACCGTGACCTGGCGATCGACGGGACCGGGGAGGACCGCAGCGCAAGATCCACAGAGTTCACCCGCTTCACCCACCGCGCTGGGCGCCGCAGGTTCGTCATGGTTCGACTGTCCATGTTGGGTATGGCCAGCTCCAAGTTTCAAACCTCTGGAGGATCCTCACTTGTATGCACTCCCCTCCAAGGCTCACCGGGAGGCTTGTCTTCGTCTCATGGTCCGCGGTTGGCCGTTGCGGGCCCCGTTGGTCTGGCCATCCACGTACAAACGACGGTGGTGCACCTGGTGGACTCGGCAGGCTGAAGCCATCTGTGTTGGTTGCCTGGGTTTGAGGCAATTGGCTGTGGTTCATATGCGAAGAATTGCAAAGAGATGTGTCCATCATTCACGTTATTAGGTAGCGCTATGGCTGTGGGGGCTTTTCTCGGACAAGCTGCGGGGAGGGGGTTCAATCATTATGTCTCACAGCGTTGGCTTTCCTCCCGTTTCCTAGGATTGCAGGCGTTGTTCAAGTACAAGGCCACGCCAAGTGATTTCAATGGCCGGTGTTGGGCAAATGAGGCAAGTTTGAGGTAGGAGAGAGAGAGAGAGCTTACAGTATGCAAGACTTCAGTCAAATATTCTCACCGAGTCTCACCTGAATCGAAAAAACCGCCGTGAGGGCCCAACATCTAAAGCATTCGTCCCAGCAAGTGTCGGACCGTTCCTTTCGATGCCACCGATGGGCGGCGAGTCGTCCGGCATTCGCCTCGGGCCTCACCGTCGTCCCGAGGCGATATCACCCACGAGTCCACCGTGCAGCAGGTCCTTCAGCATTTTGAAGGTGCATCGCGACTAGCTTCTCAAGCGCATCGCTACGAGTCACAAAGGCATTAGCTACTAGTAGCGAGCGAAGCTAGCTTGGAGCCCATGGCGGCTGCTTGGAGGCCATTACTACTATAGTAGCGGCCATGCCGCCACCGACGTCACAGAGCGGGCGACGATACGGCCGGCTCCGGCGGACCTCGCCATCGGAGAAAGTCCGCCGTCCGGGTTCGGAGCGCGAACACCCTATTTTATACCCGGTATTTGCCCGGTATTCCAGCACCCGGTTTATAATGGTTTATACCTTTTTTGGGGGGGTCAGCCTTCTCGTTCTTTGTTTTTCTCTCCCGGTCTTTTCACCAGTCTGGTCCAAGCATGTCCAAGCAGTTTGGTCATGTTGCGCATGACATCAGCTACAGAGTCCGTGCGTGATAGTATGTGTGAAGCCTTGAACCCGCCTGCATTGTTGCAACATGTTGCACTTCGGCAGTGGAACAATCTATAGTTGAATTCGGCATCACCCATGGAATCCCGCGTGCAGGCAGGGTCCCAACCACACAGGTGAGCAGATCCTCTTTTTTGGTTACCGCTCCCAACCGCCTTTGGTCAGGTGAACGAGCAGATTTGGTGGTTTGCGAGCCTTGGTGTGGCTATTGGTTTTCAGAGCTAGTGGCTTTCAGAGGAAGAACGACAGAAGGGTGCTAGGTTGTCATGGTATAAAAGTGGTACCCATTTCTGGTTGGCTTTCGAGCCTGCAAAAGCTACGCAGCTACTTTCCCAGAGAGTCGGTTCGTTCTTGGAGAGCCGCCCGTGTGCGACTCGCCCGTGGGATCTGATTGTGTTCATTGATCCACTTCATGGATATGCTTTTACTATTTCGTATCAGTTGGCCTTGGAGCCAAGTCAAGAATGCGAGGCAGATGGACTTCTAAATTCCTAGCAATGTGGAGCCCACAACAATTGGGCCACACTAAGTGCCAAAATGGTCGGTGACTGCCAAACTCACCTGCTTACCTCACCTTCTGACTTTCAGAGATTCCAATTTAGAAGCCACCAGGTGTGACTGGTGTTCAGCAGGGAAGGACGTTTCGCCCCCAATAGAGATTCCTTTGGATCCAGCCACCCTCAGCCACCCTGCTACGTTCGTCAGACAACGGTCCACTCAGGACGGTGCACCCGATGCCACTGGGCGGTCCGACTTCGACGAGTGCCACCGGAGAAACAGGAGCTACGAGCAGAACCCCCGAAATGGATGGTTTAGTGTGGGTCTATGGGGTGAAAGACATTATATAAAACATGTTGTCAGTCCGTGCTCCAGTCTCAGGGATTTTCGATCAAATTTTGTGGCCGTAGCTCACATGACATCCAGTATAACATCCATGCACTGTTATGACGGGTGTCTTTCCCATTCTGTGTAACATGTCGACAATATGTAAATCCGCCAGTCCTTGTTGCAGCATCATTGATCTGCTAATTTAAAAATTGGAATAGGTTTCATCCCTTTCCTGCCAGATATTGATAGGGAGCGGTTCTAGAGAAGTGAGTGCATGTTTTTTATGTGTGCGTCCCTGTTCAGCTGGAAAGGTATGTGCAGCATCAGCTGTTGCTCTCGGAGCTGTTTGTGGCAGAGAAACTACTGAAAGAAGGTCAGCGCAGCTGCCCCTGGCCTCCAGGGAGCCTGGTGTGAAACCGAATTCAGGTTGGCATGGACAGACACAAAGACCAGGGGTGTGAAATAGAATCATCTGATCTAACATATTCTAAGATATGCTAAGTGACAAAGATGGTCTCTCTACCGGGTAGTGAACGAACAGAACACCAGCGTTCCTTTTTGGGGACGTCGTTGAAGCCATGCCACCGGCGCCTATTCCTGGCTGCCAGGCGGCGTCTTTGTGGCCAAAGTCTTCCGAGGCAGCGGTCGGTGCCGGTAGTTGCATGGCGGGTTCCGCAAGGAGTGGCTGTGTGGAGATAGACCTTCCTTGAAGAGCAGACCAGACATGACCAGACCAGATCTTTTTCAGGACATTGGACGCCCAGTGGGTTGGATTGACTTCTTGCAAGCCAGCTTTACTTGTTGGCCCAGCTCTGATCGCCTCTTTGGCCCAATCCTTCAAGTAGCCGGTCAAGAGACCCATTGTGCAGTCATCTTCTCAGCCAACGGTTCAGTACGTCATCTCAAATCTGATCCACATGCTACATGTTTGACATCAGGCCGATTTAAGATGCCGGAATGGAAGGCCGCCCAAGTCTCCACCCCCAGCCGCTCGCACACACCCATCACCTCGGCCGTTGGTCATTTTTGCGCCATGGGCCGGTCGCAGGCCGACGAGTCGTTCTCGTTCAGTCCCGGCGCAGGTCCCACATTGAGGTCCATTTTGTTGAGGTTCTTGTGAGCAATGAGCAACATTAGCCAGCTAGGTTTGTGAAGCTGGAAGTCTATAGTGAACCTCTCCAGCAACCAGTGGCAGCTTGCCCAGGCTTTGAGCCCCTACTCCTGCCCTTGGTGCAGAACCAGCTTCAGGCGCGCCCGGGGTGTCTGATGGTTCATTGGTTCATGAGCTTCTGCCGAAGAAGGGCCCCAACTTCATGCACATTCTTACGCCAAGAGACTATATAAATAAATAAATATATATATATATATTAGGATATCACACATGGAAATACAACCATCAATCACCGTCAAGTAACCATAAATCATCATCAAGACATGAGAAATAAGCATCAAAAAATCATGTAAGACATGAGAAGTAAACTTGAACAATGGCATGAAAGACGAGTAGGACTGCCCACATGTAGACTTGTCTTCTCGGATTTCTCGCGCAACGCGCCGCGGGACCGAACGCCGGACGGATGGCACGTGGCAGATCGACCCACCAGTGGGACATGGTGGGTTCGGCTAGCGGGCACGACCCTTTAGGTGCAAGACCTGGAGAACACGAAGACTCATGGTCCAAGATGTTTACTTTTTCCTCATGGCTTCCCCGAACAGACCTGTGCGAGGCACCAGAGAAGAACAACAGACAGCTCCACCGGTGGAGCATCCCCATTGATTCACTCATTCCTTTTGTGAAGGCCCTGTGGATGTTCCATCCATCACAGTGCCATGTTCTCCCTGTTGGAGGGGGGGATGATATGATGATATGTGCTCGCGGCGGTCGCTGCGCCGTACGTCCGCCGTGCGCCCAGGGATTGGGACTTGTGCTTGAAGCACTTGTCAGGTGATAATGTCGAGTGCCCCTCAGCGAGCAAATCAGATACAGGGTTCGGAGCACATGTTTTTTGGTGTCTCACGCTGGCCACAGCACGATGGTGATCACAGCCGCCTCTGATTGGTACATATCAATGTCTTTGGGCATTTCTCGAGGTATTTTTTTCTATAATGAGAGGGCTTGAGGTGTGGGACGGTTGCTAAATGCTGCAGGTAGTGATCGAGCAATGCGGTTCATGATGGAGGACTTACCACTGTGCTTGAGGGACGCAAACTACTCAGAACCGTCCCACCAAACCTTTGAACCAGCTGGATCATTGGTAGGATGAATCTCATAGGGCTTACCTGTCCTGTTGGAGGCCAACCATGAGCTGAAAACGGTAGGATCATTTCAATATGCTACTAACTCTAGCCACCAGCCCCCACACCCAGCTAATCCTTTATGTTCAAGCAGAGCTATTGTAAACTATAGACCAACTTGATTTGTATGAGCATGAGTTTTCTGAAAATTCCCGATTCAAACAAAACGCCGCAGGAGCTTCGGAAGCAGTGCTGCTCGGCGCATGAGGCTCGAACAGCTCACAATGGGACTTTAATAGGATATTGATATTACATTGCTAAGTAACGGTTGGTGTGTCGATTCACGTGATTTCCTGAGATTTGCTTGTGATTGTTCTGGTTCTGGTACCACGTGGTGGATGTGAACATGTGTAACTACCTTTCTTTGCTTCACCACACCGAGGGCATGGCTTTAGAGTCAGCTTCTTGACACCTCGAAAACTGCACCTGCAGAATCAAGAGATGAACTGCATGGATGGGAGAACTAGTTGAACAAATTGATTAGAACGTATATAGGTAGTGTTTCAGAACGAGGGTTAATGCTTCCAGAATCAGTTGTGCGGTGTCTGGAAGCTCTTGATGACCATCCCGCGGCCAGGACAGAGCGCCGGATCCTGATGAGTTTGAGGGCGGCTTGGCCCTCCATGGGTGATGGTGGATCTCAACAGTAGATGGGTCGGACACTGGGACAATGAGATCAATATCCATGTGGAAGGCCATGCGTTTGATGTGATTGGCAGTGAGACAGACGACAGACACGTTTGACATGGTTGGGAGGAAGATGAGTTTTGGTAGGCGAGCCATCCGGAAGACCACATATATAGCATGTTGTTTCCCATCTGGCCATGCGCTTTTGAGCCAATTGGCTTAAGCCCAGAAACCCTGGTAGAGAGAGATTGGTTGAAGTCGTCGCTCGAGCTTGGAGAACGCAGAGTTCCTGGCCAAACCCAACTGTAGGAAGTCATATACTTTCCAGAAACGTAAGAGAATACTAGATTTGCTTTCTTCGATTCATTGTAAGCGTGACGTAATATGTCCTGTCATGTGGGACTTCATGTATTAGATGATACATTCGATGCTTAATGTACAGGTACGGTACATTAGCAGCATTAGCAGTAGCATCCATCACCTTCCTCAACTTTTGACAGGTTTCGACGAGTCAATTGATTCGGGTGGCCAAGGCATTGGGGGGCGCAGCCATCTTGGAGCTTTACGGTCATTGGTTGCCCCCAAAAATGATGGTAGGTCAGACTACGTCAGACCCAAGTGTTTTGGTATCATTTGGCGTCCATCTCCCGCCGAGGCACGGGGAGCGACGCTTCCGAACAGGTCCTGACAGAGTTTCTGGCTGATCCGAGGCGACGAGGGGCCCGGCACGAGGTTGGACACAAGGATGGATTGTCCAATCATAACACCAAGACAGGATGGTCCAATGCTTTTGGACCTGGATGCTTTGGACATGTTTGGACGATTTTTTTCTGTGGTTTTCTGGATTTGATATTATCTTTATGAGTGAGCCTGATCAATCATGTTCTGGTGGCTATCACATACGGGTGCCACAGCAACAAAGTCAAGAAATGGCCGGATGTGCAAGGGAACTGAGCAATGAGCAAGGAATCCCAACAAAATCAAAAATCATGTAGAATGAACAGGGAAGGCCTGGTCCTAGCTGGGGCAGGGCAGCCCTTGCCTGCTGTTCGCTGCTTTCTTCACTTCTTAGCCAGGGCACATGCCTTTGTGGGCCCATCCCTACCTCTCCAGGGCAGGTGTCTTTTCATCGGCTCATCTCTGCGGTGTTCGGGCAGCTTTTGGGTTCTAAGCCTCCGGAAGAGAAGAATGGTCCGGTCCGATTGATCGAGTCACAAGGCAAACTTGTCACATCCATGACATCAGCGTGCCAGGCCAGGATGCACGTCCTCCACGCCCTCCACTTCAAAGCCATCCAGCCAGCAGGAGGAGCTTCCTGCGGTGCTGCTGCCGGGCAAGGCATGGAACACATGCGAAAACAACACTAGAAACGTATACAAATTATACAATTGTGGTCTATATAGATATTAATACATGCAATTACATGCATCTTTATTTCTGCAGTTCACAGTGAGACGGTCACAGATTTGGCTTCGCCAGGTCACAGTCTTAACGCGGCCGGAGAGAGCAGACTCCCAAAGCGACCGGGGACCCAGCTGGCGTCCGATTGGCGTGCCGCGTCTTTTGATTGGTTTAATTGTTGAGTGCTGGGGGGTACGAACAGCTGGAGATGTCGCAGGATGTAGCATTGTTGTATGTTGTTGCACTGAGTTGCTATGAAATATAACCTGTTGATGCCCAAATTTGCTTATGGTACAGATGCTCATTGTTGGTACAATTTTTACTTACACATCCCCACCCTAGGTCAAACCTCGGGACCAAGTCACATCGTTTTTTCGCAGAGCCCGATTTCGCTTGGGCCGCTCCGTTGGCCACGCGGAAGACCACCGAAGGGCCAGAGAAAACATCCGGAAAGACATGAAAAGACCTCCAAACACCCCGGCTTTGGCTATGACAAGCTGAATAATGTTGAGGATTTTAACTGGCAGCTTCTCTACCCCAGACACTCCATGCATGTTTGTGTATGGCTTATTTTTACCTACCTTGGGGTGGTGGCAGGGGTCCATGCGGGCATATGTATATATATTTATACATAACAAACATAAACAAACAAATATATAAATAAACATATATATATATATGTATAATTAATAACAATATTTTAAGTTAAAACAACTATATACTTAAGACTGTGAGTGTTTTCACCGCATGTGTATTTTCATATGTAATTTAGCTTTTTGGATGATAGTCTTTTTTGGGAACTTGTACGACAAAGACGCGTCTTTACCGCGCCTGTTTTGTTGTTCGATCCGTAATAAAACACATTGTAATTACGACTTGAGAACTGTTCCACTATTCCGAGGGTTTTCGCGGATGGGATGGGATGCAAACGTTCGGCTCTAAGTGCGCTCCCATACATAAGAAACTCTTCTACGCTACGGTACGCAATGCGACTAAACACTTCTACGCTACGCTACATAGTGCGACTGACTGAGAGTGGGGTGGGGTGAGATGGGTTGGGATGTTATTAGTGGTGGCTTTGGACTTCAGTCCCCGATGTGACACAGCACAGGCAAAAGCTCTAAGCGCACTGGGAACAAGCGTGTGTGCTGCTTGATTGTGGATTCGGGTTGGTGTGGAAGACTCGTCCCGGCATGTCAACTTCAGTTCATGTCTTCGTGCAAAGACGTACACACATTTAAAAGGCGGTGTGTTTTTCACAAACGTGTCACAGTCTTAAGTAATCCCGGCGGGGGAGAGAGAGAGAGAGATATTA